GGCACCTTTATTCAAAGGCTAGAAGCTTTGAGTTTCCGTCATGTTGCTAGTGGTCAGTCGAAAACTTCCATTAGTTCTTAAGGTTGTGCTCGTCGCTGGCTTACTTGCCGACATTTGTCAGCTGGGAGTTGTTCGGTACCTAAAGTGAGCATTCGGACCTTCAGAGAATGTGCCCTTTCCAATTCGTTTTTCTGAAAAGGGGTAATGTGGAATTTCGATGTCCATAAGTTGCACCTTGGAGTGGGTGTTGAAACCATTTATCAGGGAGCTGTAAACATGTGCCGGCCAAGCACACTTCAAGTGATTTTGTTCTTTGATCCTGGTAGTGAATATTTGCTGTTATGCACAGCAATTTACAGCCCTTTACTTCAGGACTTCATAAGTGTGCAACTATGCAAGCCATTCTAGGCGACAGTAGCTTGAGACAGTATTTCATTTCAGCTCTTTTTTAGTACTGAAGACTTCGAGGCTCAATCGTAACAGTGACCATAAAGTAACAAGTGCATCGAGGGTCAGATGTACGTGTACGGGGAAACTGTCAACCGACTGTCACGAAAGCATGAACAAATCTAAATCATGAGCGATTACAGAGAAGAGCCTTCCAAGGTGGAGAAAATTGAAAAGCGGGCATGCATTCTCGGTATCTTGGACCAATGATGGCCTTCTTGTAACATAAGTTCGGATGTGGTTCCAAGATATGTAATATGTTTCCCCTAGGTCGCGCTACATTACGGGTGCCTGCGAACCACGGTTTCAATGCAAATCCTCCCAGTTAGTGTGCAGTGTTTCGGACCTGGCTGATCAGTCCGACTCAGGACCTGGCCACCCAACCGATTGATACCTTTTCATTCGATAGCACAGGTTATCTGTTTCGTCATACCAGAGAAAACGATCTGACGCAATGTTTTCTACCGTTATGGAACGGCATGAAGAGGGAGCCCCATGCTAGACATGATCATGTTCCACGGTGAGCTGCGCCTGAATAATGCTGTTTTTAATGGTCACAATGAGGAGAATTTTCGAGTGGAACGAGGGGTTCCAGTGCAAGGCAATCGACGTTAGCGGAACAAAGGAATTTTTGGGAAATAATGGGTCACGATTGGAGTAAGCTGTAGTTTACTGGAACCGATAGCAACGCTGGTTAAACGAGTGACGGAATTTGATAAATCGCATTTGCACACGAACTTGGTTTTGACTAGATACCCAACTGAATCCAGCTGAGTAGATCGTTCACGATGGCAGAAGAGCTTTCAGAAATCTTATGCGTAGTGCTACGTGCAGAATGACAAGGTTCTTAGGAACGGAAAAACTAACTACTACTGAGGGTTTCTGATGTCTATTACCTGGTACTTATACGAAACCAGTCTGGTGTGCTAATGGCCCGTTCCCGGTCTTTGTGGGCAGTGACGCGCAACTCTTGGATACGCTTCGACTGTGCATTGTGGTTGGCTCCATTACTGGCTTCTACGCCGTACTCGGTCAAAGATGTCAAGGCTTGAGGTACAGTAGCATTCTCAACTGGATGTTTAGTTCACATTCGAAGTTGGACGTTTAGTCGTCGTATTGGTAGGCCGCCATTTGGGGTGTTTCACGGTGTTGGAAGCTCTGGTCATCACTCAATTTGTGTCCGTAAATGTGCTCCGTAATACACTGTGGCTTCGATGTTTGCATGCAGTGGGATTAGCTGTGCTTGATACTCATGCGTAATGGGATATCCACCGCACGCAGCTAAGCTCATGTCCTAGGGTAAATCTAGTGACAGTAATGGATCAGAACCAGAAATTTGTCACCTCATGGTTCTATGAATGGTTGTCGCTAAGAGGAACGGCAGATTTAGATTTCGTGTGATAGGAGACGCGCTCAAAAGAGTAATCTTCGGTGCGCATGAAAGTCCCAACGGATCTTCCTTTCGGTGTTTTTTATTCTTCTGTTACTTGTCCCTCAAAAAGTATAACCTGAGCGAAGCAGATTTCCTGATAGTGTGCTCCACCTCGAGAACCACCGGGAGCCGAAGGTTTCGGCGGGTGCCTGTCAAAATGAAAGAAGTGTGCTGCACGTTTCCAAAGGATAAATGAAAATTCAACGTTGGAACCCGTCGTTTTGGAACTCTACGGACGTTAGTGAGCTTGTGAAGATCCCATTGGACGGCTAAGCTCGGGCATAACTTTCCTGGTGTTTTCTTATTTGGTAGGCCGTCGTGACGGCTGGATCACTGCAGGTCATTTAAGTACCAATCTTAACTCATGTGGACTCGAACAACTGCGGGCAGGCAACTGACAACGGATGTGCACCTGCAGGGTCCCCTTTTGGTTGCAGAGATAATCTGGTTACTGACCGCTTCACCAGTGTAATTGTAAGTTCATCGTGTTCATTAGGTGGTTGCAGCAACCGCGTGTTCTCGTTTAGACCGCCAATCGCAGTGTACAGTTGTATCTGATACTTCTCCACGAGCAGCGAGCATTTTCATTCATGTCTAAGGGGAAAGGGCCAGTGACAAATCAGATATAAGCATACCAGGTCTTTGAAAAAAAGATGCTTTTGAAAAGTTTCTTGACGAACCGATCAATGTTCCCGATTTTACTTATCAGTGTGATATAAAACAAATTGTAGAGTTTCTACTTTAAGTTGGTCGTCTTCCAATTTTAAAGAAGTGAACTGAAATGGTCACTGATAGGGATGCAGTTTGAAAAAAGTGATGCATAATTGTCTCAAATCACCCCAGCGGAGATGCCACCTAATGCATTCTTCCATCGTTTTCGAGGGTAGGTCTGTTTTGTTTTCAAAACTGATTTGTGTCACAGCCTTTGTTCAATACTCCAGAAAGACACCTTTGGCCCAGCGGTCTCAGGCTAGGATGAGCGATGATCACATGACGTTCTATCGATCACATAACGCTGTGAATGAAGTTACGAACTGGAATCTGATTGTAATGTCCGACTATTCCTGGCAGTGACTTTCCAAACATGCAAGCAGCAGGTAAAAATAACTTTGATTTAGGCATGTTCCGCAAGTTGCGTGAACCTTCCATCTGAGATGTCAGTCCTTGCATGACTAAATGTTAATTACGTGTGACACTATCCTGTCTGAACATAACTTAATCGAACCGTTGATCGGCCGTTCATGGCAAAACAATCTACTCTTCGATTACTGTTTGGGAGGTCCCAGGACCGAGTCCCATCACGAGGTTGTGATTAATTACAAGTGGGAAAAGAGAAGGTTGGTTATCCCGGTAGTGGTCTCTTACAGGAAATGACCGCAACTAAAGGTTCCATAGTGAATCATTCCGAACAATAGTTCTGTGGCAATGACAAATCCCGGCAGATGGATAGCAACGATGTGATACACATCTATTGGACGTTGGCAATTGATGGGGGTGGGGGTGGACACGTGTTAATGCGTGTGGTAAGTCAATCAAAAGTTTGTTACATCCACGTTGGAACAAGTATTTTCTACGTACAGTTCAGACTGTCTCACACCTGACGACTGGCTGAAAATTCTATGGTTCCTGATTCTGCTGTCCGAAACCATTTTAAACTTCGGCGAGCAGTGTGGAGACAATGTAATGTTGGGAATGTGGTTCGCATCAGCACGATACTCTGTGCAGGTTGTTAAGCAACATGCAGGATATTATGTAAATAGCAACCCGCTTGTTCTGACCCCGATACTTCCAGGAGTCCAGGAAATTGGTTTTGAAGATCTGACACACCAGTGAGCACAATGCAACGTGTATTAGTGCTAGCATGAACTGTCAATGTTGATTATAGCTAGGTACTTGTTGATTTTTCCTGTGTACTGGTCGGTACCGATTATTGCCATGGCATTTGTTTCTAGGCTTTTACACGTTAGGTCATTGGCTAGTCTTCGGTTGCCGATTCAGATCTGTTTCATCATTAGCAAGGGTTAACGTGAGTCACCCATAATTCGTGTATTAGGATGCGGTTGTTCCGTCTGCCGCGGGTGATACATTTCTGAACGCTGTTCGTTTCTTTTTATCTGGGAGGGCAATATTTATTGGAATTGTCACGTAGTTCAGTGCTGAGGGAGTGCGTCACCGATTCCACCGGCCTGTGTATTCCAGCTTATTGCTATAAGGATAATCCACTATTAAAGCCTGCACAAAGTAACATTCAGGTACTTTATAATCGATACAGCATTGCTTAATGTTAATACCTGGCTAATTTTGTCGGACTGGCTCACAATGATGGTCATTGGATGCCTGTTAGTCTTAGTTTAACGAGCAGCACCGTTCGGTTTCATCCCACACAACCAGCTCGTTGCTTGGACCATTGTTGACGTTTCCATTGATTTCCAATAGCTGATATTGGATAAATCGATCAAAAAGTGTTGGGCTGCAACCATAGGAACTTTTCTCTAGGGAGATTGTCTCGTGTTTCCCAACGAATTGCTGGAGTAGTTTGGGCCAGTCCATCGTAACAACACTGTGGCTTCTCGATCGTGAGAAAGTTGGGTACTGATTTAGGTGTTCGAATGTTCGTAGTCGATTATTTGAATTCGTGACCCCACAACCAGGTGCGATTTTATTTGCACAATAACGATGGCAATGAGAGCGATGTGATACCTCGGTGCGTAGCTGTTGCGCTATTCCAGCGAAGCATTTAGGCTGATATACTGCTTGTTGGGTCCATCTTAGTCAAGTGACCGAAGAGTTAGGATTGATCTCGAACTGTGAACTTCTCAGACAATAGTCGCGCTCAATCACAATTACCTCGAGCTGCTGAAGATATTCGTTCAACCATGATCATCTGATTTGTAGGGTTTTATCCGAATGCTGAGAGCAAACAAATAATGAATTGTGGCTGACAACATTGTCCAACCAAACAATTCCTATATTCGGAATCAGTTCACGAATGCCGTGGATTATGACTCAAACCAAAAACTATTACGCAATGAAGTTTCAGGCTTCTCTCACTTTTCGATGTATCTTATCCACTTATCTTCGTAAATTTTAGAGTGCGCGATTTTTCATTTTATCCATCCAGCATTTCCAATCGTCTGGAGGCCCATTTACTAGCCTCCTTCAATCGATCGTCAATACCCGCACGCAAATCCTCACTTTCAATTTATCGCACGAAAGTGTCCAGGCAAATGTGAGCGGTCGTCTGTCGTTTCAGGTTTTAATCGACCATCATTCTTCTCTACTCGAACCTTCCCTCTGCATTGTTACCCACGTAAGCCTTGGTAATAAAATTTGTTTTCGGTGTATCTGATGTGACAGTGCTCGAGTGCTCCGTTCAATTGATTACTTCATCCAAGGGCATCAACAACATCTGCTTGAGTCGTGTTATTCGGTGAATTCAAACGCAGATCTCTAGGCGCTCTAGGATTGCTTCGCGTTCGCGTCTGAGGGTGAAAATGAACATGGAAACCCCATTATCATATGCATTTTACTCACCTTTCCAACTTACTTCCATGAAGCGGACGAATCTTGGTGGTCCCAACTCAATATGCGCAGCTCTCGTTGACAGGGAACTCAGGCTGAACTGTCAGATTTACGCTCAATCTTTTCCCTCACGGAAGGATTGTTTTCACGGGTAATAAATGCCGAAATGTCTGTTATCACTGCCGCTTTGGTTCAGGTGAAGACCAGTATGAGCAACTAAATTTACGATTCAATGGAGCCTTAGAATGAAGTCATGACCCCCGTTGAAGTGTACGCCTATGTTTACTCTATTGGTCAAATTACAATCTGAGGTTTTCTCAGCTTCCGTATGCTCGTGCCCAAGTGATTGTAGATGTGAAGGTCGTAGTTTCGCATATAATGTGATGTCGAGCTGTTTTCACGAATTCCTCAGTCAACCTGAGGCATCCCAGCTCTGGTTCGTCGATTGTTCAGCTAAGGCACATTCGCAAACAATGTGCACACTTTGACAAAATTTTCCCGACCAAACTGCCGTTTTACGCCAGTATTGTCTGCGTGGAATTGGGAATGTGTTAGGCTATCAGCACCTTCGCTGATTTCCAATCACGTAAGCGCGATTTTCTTCAACCCTGGTTGAAAAGTATCTGCATACCAATGTAACCGTCTTCAACATCGGGTTTCACAAGCAACGTCCTTTGAACTCCGCCGCTCCTTTCCTTAGTTATTGCTTATTTGGGCGTGGAAGAGGAGAGGAACTGGTTGTGTTGAGGGGGTTTCTGTCTATCAAGAAGTACCCTGTTGAGTTTTTCACGCAAAATGGAAAAATCTCGGAAAGTGGACTCGTAGCTATTTCCAAACTTGCATTCCAGAATCAGATGTGCCAAATGGAACCGAGTTAAGTACTTGCGTAGGTCAGTTGTTCACCTGCTATCCGCTTCCTGGGAGCACATCAGATGCTTACAATATGTGGTTCAACTGGTTCCATTCGTTACATTTTACGCAGCCTTGTAGAACCAGAGAACTGTCTACACCAGAGTAGGCCCAACCAGTAACCGATCCAATACTACGCGCTAAGCTTCACAATCAGAATCGGTTAGAATCTCCACTGGAACTGTAATTTCAAACTCAAAGAATAGACCTGGCAGCAGCCGGGGTGTGTTTCTGTCTGTTGTTCCGCTAAGGTGCTTCATTTCACGGGTCTATCGGTATCAGATCAGAATTGTGCAACGCCATATTTGTTTCGCGAAATTAAGTTGTGTTCATCAATACGTCTAATTAGTGTGGAACAAACAGGCAGTCACACTAAGCAGCGAACTGCTAACTAATGCGCAGTGAAACAGTCAATATGGTGGCACAACTTGAGTGCTGTTCACTAGGTTGTAAACGGTCTCAATGCCTATGCTTAATTTTCGCAGTTATTACTGTGTGATCGGGCTTCGGATCGTACTATGGAGAGCGGGCGCGGTGATTTGCGACAACGGCCACATTAAGAACCCCTGGAAATCGAGCAGCACCCAAGAGCTAGAAAGACTGGGTACTCAAGTAAATGGTGCGCATTTTTAATCAGGAATGGGAGTAAAGAAATTTGCTTGCAGTGGAAACGTCATGACGACCAATCAGCTTTAACCGATTATTCTGCCGGCAGTCCACGATCGAGGAAGTTACGCATTGTTAAAAAAAATAGCACTAGAAAAAATTTTCAGAATAGTCAGTACCAATCAAACCGATTTACATCGAGCAGGAACATAATTTTGGTCAGTGCCGTTGGTCTCAAAGTGGTGCAGCCGGTCAATTTAATTTGCACATAGAAGAGTAAGGTGCGAAGTATACCAATCGCTATCATTAAAGTTAACCACAGTGCACACATGGCTGATAACATTCTTGGTTGTCATTTCTTCTCGACAACAACCTGCGAGACCTAATTTCTCCGTGGATTTTGTCAATGATTGGTCTGGTGATAATTTGCAATAACACTTTGTCAAATAATAGTCGTCTCTGTCCATGTATTCTGCGTAGCTGTCGCTGAATGTGTTCTCCTCCACACAAGCTTTATCAGTTCTGATTTGTGTGATCGAAAAGTTCACAATATAGGACAATGGGTCGGAAACCCTGTTGATTGCTATGATAATGCCGTTGATCGAGCCAAATTAGTGCGGTACGACTCTTTGGGGTCACATCGTTCAACATCGTGTATTATTGTTTTTCATTTCCTATAAACACTAGTGAAAAAGCAATAACTGAAACGCAAATTCGAACCACTTCATTTTGTAGAGTACAACTGACGGGATCAGCTAAGCATCCAAACTTCTTTCAGCCTGTCGTGAGGTTCGCTCAAACGCGATACACATAGATAGTGGTGAATTTACAGCGTACACAGTCGACAGAGTTATTATCAACGAGGGATAAAACAGAAATATAGGGGAGTTGCTGAAAATGGAGACGTTTTGGATTCACCAGGCGCTAGACTATTCAAGCGAATGGGGAGGGGGGCGTTGCGGGAGCTACTCTGTGTGCTCAGTTTCGTTGGAAACTTCTAATATCCCATAAGACGGCTCCTAACATAAAGTTTCACATCCGTGGAAATTTTTTAACAAACTTCTGAATGGATGCTGCATCCGTCGTCAACTAAGCTTCTCGCTACTAAGAATGCCAATATACTGGGACATGCTTCAGTGAGATGAACCCTCAGAATCCAGAGGAAATAGGTTAACAGTGGATTCGGCGAAAAATGATAGATGCGGTAATGGATTGGAAAACAACATTCAAGATGAAACAGTAGTCCTGTTTCGACGGATCACTTGCTACATAATCTTCGAGAACGTACTACTGGGATCAGTCCGCTTAAGGCTCAAGTAGGTACAGTCCTCGAGTTCTTAGTAACCTTCTGTTTCACTTGAACCCAGATTGTACACCATTCGCGATATACACTCGTTTATAAAGTGATCTGGTCTTGCTGGAAAACCCAACTCCATTCTGGTAGGAGCGAATGACGAACTATTACGAAGAGTGGTTTTCGAGAGAAAATCCACGGACAGTGATAGTACCTTGCCTATTCATTACTTCACACTGGATTTTACGGGGATTGAAACCTCGGCAACACAAAGATGTGAGGTAATCTGCTAGCAGTGCGCTTATCTGGCACGAGTGTAACCAAGACATGATGCGCTGGAGGATTTACTGAGAACGAAACGCCCGCAAGGTAATCTGAAGGTCGCCTTGAATATTCGCATGCCCTCCGCGAATCAGGATGTGAACGGTATGGTTTCGTCGAAGGGATGCTTTTTACTCTCGACAGTTGCAATACACATGAACGTGTCGGATGGATAACAGAACAGTAAGGTTCGGATAGACGGTAGCATTTATTGCGGGTGCATTTTGTGTATTTCTCACTTCCCATCGATTTATGTGAAAGAATACCTCGAGGGTGAAAATCGTCGGTGATGGCCGTTGAGCTGAGTGCTGTGTGAACGACCCGGGTGTTTTTAGGCTCATTGTCACCTGAGTGGATGGTTGAGTCTCTCTCGGCTTGAGCGCACAAGCATCCAAGGGCCGATTTCGAATCGAGGTAATTCAGCTAGTGTCGCTTTGTTAACAGCCAAACAGCGTTCGTTGTGTACAACTTCTTGCTGAAGTCCAACTTAAATCCGACTCCACGCATCCATATGTATGCCCCTACCCTTGCCGAAAGTCATCTCGTAACGTCCTCGGGATTTTGCCTATTATTTTGGAGTTCACGTGCATTGTCGCGGCGCTGTGATGAATGTAAATATCACATGAATACCCTCGTCGCTAACTGTCATGACAAGGTTTATGTTCGTCATAAGAACAACCCTTGCGCATTGTCCACCGAAAGCTTTTTGGCGTTATGTTGACGACACGTTTATCGTAATCAAACGTGAATACCTTCCGCGACTATCCCAATAGTTTAATTCCACATATCAAGTTCATCAATGAGATAGAGTCCACCTCGGGGATATTAACCTTCCTGGACATTGTCCACGAAAGCTTTTTGGCGTTATGTTGACGACACGTTTATCGTAATCAAACGTGAATACCTTCCGCGACTATCCCAATAGTTTAATTCCACATATCAAGTTCATCAATGAGATAGAGTCCACCTCGGGGATATTAACCTTCCTGGACTGTATAACACATAAGAGCTGTGGAAAATGAAAAACTACTATCTACCAGAAACCAACAGACACATGAACCGTCTTAAGCTACTCATCAGCACACCGTAAGTCTGTGCGACAGTATTGTCTCATCGATGTTGAGCCGAGTCAAAGCGCTGTGCACAGAATGGATCGAGTCAGCCGACAGATCACAAGAAATAGGTCACCGAGTGAGTTTGATGAGTCATCAATTAAGAAGGATGTTGGCTCCGGTATCTAGACCCAGTAAGGAATGGATTGGGACAGCAGTCATTCTATATAAAGCGGGAACATCGAAGGTCATTCGAAGGCTGCTGAACTCAGCCAACATTCAAGTAGCCTTCCAGAAGAGAAAGAAGCTCCTCCTAGTTTTGGTGCAGTTGAAAGATACCCTCCGGGTTGAAAGGACTAAGAGTTATGTATATAAAATTAACTGCAACGATTGCACTAAGGTTTATATGGGACAAACCGCCAGGGAATTGCACACCACAATTGGTGAGTGTAAAAGGACGATAAACGAACCACGAAAGAATGCGGAAGAATACCAAATACTGGTCAAAGACTCAGCGGTAGCAGTTTTAGACACAGGACATAGAATAGATCTGGATAATGTGGAAGTTTTAAGACGAACTGTGATTCACACCAAACCGGCCGATAACCGAGACAGTGGAAATCACTAAGAACCACTGCGTGAATAGACTGGAGAGCGTGGAACTGGCGAGCCTATGGAAAGCGGTCTTAGATAATCCGGGTTGACACGTGATTGTGTGGTTGTCAGT